AATTGAAGGTTTATACCCTTAGACCAAAATCCCATTTCCTCCACTTCCCAGTCTCTGGCAACCACCATACAACTCTCTATTTCTATGAGTCTGACTTCTTTAGATTCCACATACCAGTATAAGTGAGATCATGAGGTATTTGTCTTCTTGAATCTGGCTTATGTCACTTAGCATAATGTTCCTCAGGTTCATCTATGTTGTTGCACATGATAGGATTTCCTTCCTTTTTAAAGGCTGAATAGTATTCCATTGTTTATATATACCACATTTTCTTTATTCATTCATCTGTTGATGGACACTTAGGTTTATTCCACATCTTGGCTATTGTGAGTAATTCTGCAATGAACATGGGAGTGCAGCTATCTAATGAGATATCACCTCACATCTCTTGGAATGGCTATTATCAACTCCAGGAGACATAAAGACTCATACGTTAGTATGTTAGTAACAATACGAAAACATACAGCTTTCTCATAAGTGATAGTAAAGTCTTATTTCAGTAAAGTAAATAAGTGATTAAGATTATCCAAATTAATTTTCTGAAAAAGAGAAGTTGCTTTGGATATATACACAGGAATGGGATTGCTGGATAATGTGGTAGTTCTATTTTTAAGTTTTTAGGAACTTCATACTGTTTTCCACAATGGTTTACCCGTCTATAATCCTATAAATAGTGTACAAGGGTTCCTTTTCTCCATTTCTTGGTCAACTCTTATTATTATTTGACATGTTTCTAATAGCCATCCTAACAGGTATGAGGTAATATCTCATTGTGGCTTTCATTTACATTTGCCTGATGATTAGAAAACCTTTCTCTTTTTTAAATGGAGTCTTCCTCTGTCACCCAAGCTGGAGTGCGGTGGTGCAACCTCTGCTTGCCGCAACTTCCGCTTCCTGGCTTCAAGCGATTCTCCTGCCTCAGCCTCCACAGTAGCTGGGATTACAGGCACCTCCCACTACGCATGGCTAATTTTCATATTTTTAGTAGAGAAGGGGTTTCACCAGTGATCTGCCTGCCTCAGCCTCTCAAAGTGCTGGAATTACAGGAATGAGCCACTATGCCCAACCTAGAGCACCTTTTAATATTAGCTGTTGGCCATTTGTATGTCTTCTTTGAAAAAATGTTTATCTAGGTGATTTGTTCATGTTAAAATTGGACTATTTATTTATGTACCATTGAATTATGTGGGCTCATAATATATTTTGGATATTAGTCCCTTAATAAATATGTGATTTGCAAATATTAGGTTGGTGCAAAAGTAATTGCGTTTTTTTTGCCATTACCTTTAAAAAATCGCAGTTGCCATTACCTGCAAAAACCGCAAATACTTTTGCACCTACCTAATATTTTCTATCAGCTGGGTGGTTGCCTTCTGTATTTGTTTGCTAGGGATGGCATAAAAAAATACCAAAGACTGGCTAGCTTAAACAACAGATATTTATTTTCTCAGTCTGGAGGTTGGAAGTCCAAGATCAAAGTGTCAGCAGGTTTGGTTTCTCCTGAGGCCTCTCTCTTCTTGGCTGCCATCCCAATCTGTCCTCTCATGGTCTTTTCTCTGTGTGCATGTATCCCTGGTCTCTCTCTCTTCTTATAAGGACACCAGTCAGATTGGATTAGGGCCTCACTAACAGCTTCATTTTAACTTAATCGCCTTTTTAACTTAATCTCTTCTTTAAAGACCTTATCTCTAAATACTATTATACTCCGAGGTACGGGGGGTTGGGACTTCAGCATGTGTATTTTAAAGAGAAACATTCAGCCTATACCACTTTCCTTCCATGGCCACATGATTGGTATGACCAGTCCCTGCAACAATTACTTTGCCCCCTTTCCCCCAAATCCTAACCATTGCTAACCAACACCATCTGTTTGGATTAATCTCTCAGTGACTCAGTGGTTTTGTACTCGTATAGCTTGTACCATCCTTGAACATATCCCACATCTGAAGTGACCACTTTAGAGTTGTCATATCATACTCAAGATCATTATCTCCTTCTCTCTAGTTTAAATATATATTATTAAGGCACCTAAAATACTTGCTAATTCCTGCTTATCAGGTCCAATCAGCATAATGTTGTCAATGCAGTGGACTAGTGTGATATTTTATAGCATGTCAAGACAATCAACATCTCTGTGGACTATATTAAAGTGAATTGATACACCCCCAAGACAATACTGTGAAGGTATCCTGTTGGCCCTGACAGGAGAAAGCCAACTACTTCTGGTGGTTTTACAAATAGGTATAGAGAAAACAGCATTAGCCACATCAGTAGCTATATACCAAGTGCCAAGTCTTATGTTGATTTGTTCCAGTAAAAATAATACATTTGAGACAGCAGCAGCAGCAATTGGAATCACTTCTTGATTAAGTTTATGAGTCCACAGTTATTCTACTAGATTTATTCTGCACTAGTGAATTAAATGAGAATAAGTATCATCACCCCTACTCCTTTTAAGGCTTTTATGGTAGCACTGATTCCTGCAATTCCTCCCAGCCATGCAGTGTTGCATCTGGTGAACTAAATGGAAGCTCCAAGAGCTCCTGGAGCTTCCATTTAGCTCTCCCTAATAATGGTCCTCTTTCTATGGCTAAATCCCAATGTGGGGATCCTGTCAGTTGCTAAGTATGTCTATTACAATTATTAGGTTGATGCCAAAGTAATTGCTGTTTTTGCCATTAAAATTATGTCATTAACACATATTCCAATTACACTGGGAAAGTAGACACATAGTTGGTATGTGGACTAACAGTGGTGATTTCTGTCCCCAGGAATTAGCATCAACTCAGAGCCAGTGTTTAGTAAACCTAAAATGATCTGTGTATTTCCTTTTCGCCAATGCAGAGTCACTAGTAAATGGCCACATGTCGTTTTGGGGAAAGCTTGAAAGAATTTGCCATGTGTACTGTGGCCAAGGTGCAAGATCCTTCCTAAAGGGGACACAGATTCTCTCTCAACCAAGGGACTAAGGGTCTGTGAATTGACTTAGGTCTGAGAACTGGGAGATTGTGACTACCCACTGTGGTGACTCAAGTCAGGTTTTGGCTACCTGACCTAGATCTTTACAACTGTTATAAATATCAAGCAATAATCTATTTCAACTGCCTACCTATTTTGTTCCCAGAGCAGCTTTGTAAGCCAAGGCAGTCTGATATCCTGCTGCCCTTTAAGGTAGATGTGCCCACCTTGTCTTTGTTGGTTATGTGCTGCCTGGCCTCTGCTATTCTGAGATTGTGTCATCCCCACTGAAACCAGGGAGCCCATCTAGATAGTGGCATCCTCTATAGTCAAGGTTTTCAAGCAAGTCTAGTCTCTTTAGACACTGGAGGGCAACCTACTTCCACTGATAAGAGAAAGAGTTGGAGTGTTTAAGATTGTCGGTTTCATCTGGGTCCAACCCATTTCAAGTATTGAGATTCTATTATTAAAAAATAACACCCTTTTACGTGAAAAACTGAGAATGTGTATGAATTTAATAGGAGTTATAATTTAGTAACATGAAAATTAAAATTTTGTTTCTCAGCATCATTCTTGTTGCTACAATAAACCAGAGCTTTTAGAATTCTACAGAATATCTCTGGTTCTCATGCCATAACTCTGAGAGTTAAAAAACCTGTGCTTTCATTTCTCTTTATAACTAACCACTCAAAAGAATCCATCCCACACCAGTCTTTCTAGTCACCTTTATAACCATAGCAGTCAAGTGTAGCAGCCACTTGGGCCCCCAAGGCACAGGCTTCAGTTGGCACTTCATCAGGATCAACCACAGGTAATTGCTTAATTGAGATGCCCAGCATGTCATGAATTACATTTCCCTTTGGCAAGGAGCTCAAGCGCAAAACCTCAATCAAACTGACCTTTAATCCCATCTTTGCAGGTCTATTTCTTGGGACTACTCCTGGGACAGGGAAGACTTAATAAAAAGAATTATTAACTATAATAGAGAATTAGAGTAATGAAGGATTCACTAGTGAAAAGAGAACTTTAAAGAATATAGCAACAGCAGTTATAAGGAGCTAACCTTATAACTAACTCTTGGACTGAGAGACAGAGTGCCCAATGAAGAATCTCCCCAATTCCTCCCAGGGCTAAGATCTAGACCTTTTTGGAGAGGGCATGACCTGGCTCACTGAATGGCAGAGAAGTCACCATTGGGCTACGCCTGCAAAGCTTGTTGAACATGTGCCCTCTGCAACTTGCTGCAAATACCTCTAGGGTACCGGGGAAGTTATTCATGGGGTAGTGTCTCACCTCCTCTACAAAGCTCCTGGAGTTGGGCATGGGAGAGGAAATTGCTAGTTACTGAGCACTATAGGATCTTGGCACTGGAGAAAGCCAGGTATGCTGCAAAAGCCTATCAATACACAGAAACCAGGAAGCAAAATCCTTTTTTTCTGTAATGTCTCTTCAGCGCCCTCTACTGACAAAGCTTCAGTACCAGAAGGCAAACGAAAAACTGTTTAAAAGGCTCAGATCCATTTTTACAGTGCAGTCAAAAAGGGTGAATTTGGAGCTGAGAGGCAATCAGTAACTGGCACAAGCATCACTTCTCAGATTACACTCATGGAATTCGCAGTCAGATGTTTCTACATGTGCCTGGACGGCCCTTTGTCAGTCTCCTTTCCCCCAGGTTTCAACAGGCTGTGACCAAAGGAGGAAATAGTCCGAAGAAAATGTGCAAGCCCTCTTCTCTTGCATTTCCTCCAGCCCTTCACTAAGTACTCTTCCAGGCACGCCAGGCCCGAGTGTCCTAGGATAGGAAACCTGGGCAACAAAGGGAAGTGGGGTGTAAGTTTAACCCCTGTTGGACGTGGGGTGCTGGCGCCTGAACGCCTCCGAAGGCCTCAACTCCCAGAAAGCTGCCTGCCAGGTCACAAGAGCCTTGTAAGGTCTTCCTACCGCCGGGACACTGGGAGGCAGGCGCGGGGCGGGTCCGGCCGGTGACGCTCTGCGATTGGGCGCCGGGGGGCCCGCCCCCTCAACTCCGAGCGCCGGGAGGGGGCGGGGCCAGCCGCCCGCTCGGCTCAGGGGCTGTCGGCGCTTATTGACCCGGCAGCCGCCGCGCCGCCGCTGTCTCCTCCTGCTCGTAGCAGGCGGTGCTGGAGCGCCAAGTGGCGCTGGAGAACCGGCGCTTCCTTTCGCCGCTGCCGCCGCCATCTCCGCGTTTGTGGGGCGGGAAAGAGGGAGGGGGATCGCGGCTGCAGCTGGAGCGGGCTTCTCTCCGGGGACGGTCCTTTTCTCCCTGCTCTCCTTTTCCTTCTCCCCGCGTTGCCACCGCCCGCCCCCTGCACCTCCCCGCGCAGCCTGGGTTCGGGAGGGGGAAGGTAGAGACGGCTGGGGGCGGGAGAGGCCGGCAAGCGGATGCTAGCTCTGAGGAAACTCATCAATTCGTGCGCCCCGGAGTCTAGGGTACACACCGGCCCAGCGGCAGCGGCGGCGGCGGCGGCAGGAAGGGGCTCAGTTGGGGGAGGCGGGGGCGGTGCCGCGGGGGCGGGCCCGACCGTCCCGGCTAGAAGTTGTAGGGCTAGGCTCTTCACGACCCTGTTCCTTTCTCCTCCGCTTCTCTGACCTAGCTGCGCGGCCCCGGCCCGGGAACTGCCGAACCCGCGCCTCCCCTGGGTGAGGAGGACACGCCTGCCCTCGTCGAGAAAACTTTTCCTGCCGACTCAGTTGGCGCGGCGGTGGCAGGAAGTGCGGGCAGCGACCTCTCCTCCGCCTGCCCCGCGCGCCCTGCCGGAGGTCGGCGCTGAGCTTACGATCAAGTTTGTAGGGGCCCCTTCCCAGCTGCCGGCGAGTCTCGCCTCGAGAGGGGCGCCCGGCCCCGGGGAGGGCAGCAGGCCAGGGCGAAGGCCAAGGGCGTGTGGTGGCGCCGGAGACTAGGTGCGGAGCACGGCTGGGACTCGCACCCGCAGCCGACAGCGCGGAGGGCGCGCAGCCTGGGAGAAGGGAGCCTCCGGCGGCTGCTTCCTGGAGTCAACAGTCCGCTGTCTCCTCTGGCTGAGGACAGTGTCCTGGCCCCGAGTCTATCGAGGAAAATGAAGTTAAGCCGCCAGTTCACCGTGTTCGGCAGTGCGATCTTCTGTGTGGTGATTTTCTCGCTTTATCTGATGCTGGACCGGGGTCACTTAGACTACCCCAGGAACCCGCGCCGCGAGGGCTCCTTTCCTCAGGTAAGCACCTGGGAAGGGGGCGCGGGGCTCCGAGGGGCCAGGCGTGCGGGCCCCTGGTTACCGGGGGTCCAGGCGTGCGGGCTCCTGGTTACCGGCTCCTCCCCGACCTCTTCCTCCTGCCGCGGCCCCACACCGGTGCTGGGCGAGGCCAGGCCAGGGGAGGGTCCCAGCCGCCGCCAGCCGGGGCTCTGTAGCTCTCGGACGGCAATGACCATCTCTTGGGAGCCATGTCGCCCGGGCGCGCCGAGTTAACAAAGTGCCGGGCGGCGTGCGGCGGCGGCATCGCTCTCAGGGAAGTGGCCATGTTCCGGTATTCGCACCCGGCCTGTTGGGGTGGCTTCGGGCACCTGCTGGCGGGGGAACGGGCGCGGCGTGAGGCGCCCCCCCCGCAGCCCGGGGCCCGCGTATGGCGGTGGGGTCGTTCTCGGCTCTTACGGGGTTAAGTCGCCCGCACCAGCCCAGACCCCTGCGCTCACCGAGTCTCGGAAATGGATCAAACCGATCCCACCTAGCCTTATTATTATTATTTTTTCTTCCCCACTGCCTCTGAAGAGAGAGAAGTTTATTTCGTGTTGCGGCCGTTTTAGATGTGAATCTGTAGGTTGATTTTAGTGTCGTCATTCTTCAGCTATTACCTCTGGATTGTTTGTGGCAGACATGGGGAACCGAGTGGGGAAGCGCGTGTTATACTCAGGCCGAAAGCTGTGGGGCGCTCAGCCCTGCGTCCAGTGGTAAAATTGGTAAATGAGTTGGGAAAACGACCCATCCAAAGTCTTATTTAAAGTTACCGAAAATAAGCAAAGCGGACACAATCTGTTCCCTTTGGAAGGGTACCCGCCGCGCGGCATGTGCAAGTTCAGTTTCAAGTTATTTGCCAATAACCTGTGCACTTCAGAAATTGCGGTGGAACTGGGTATTATGTAGTGTGCTCTGGAACGGATGAATCTGAAGAACTCAAACCCTGACAGGGCAATCTAACTATTCCTACCTGACTTACGAGAGAGAGAGAAGCCTAGACGTGAAGTTGATATTTTTTTCTCTTTTGTGACAACTTAAATGACCAAAGAATATTCTTGCCATTTTTTTCTATTCTGCTAGAGCAAATGGCATGAATTTAATTGAGATTAAAGGACAAACTTTACTGGAATTATTTTGAAAGTGAAAAAAGACCCTTTTATGGGTGCTATCATCAATACAGAGCACTCAACATGTTTTGTCGGTGAGAGGTATTAAAAATCTTGCTGCAGAGAGATGTATCAAAATTTTGAAAGCCTCTGCTTCCCTTAGGTAGTATGACAGAGAAAATAGAAACAAGCACTATGGGCATCTTTAAATCTTGAGCTCAGACTTGTCCAGTGCTTCTCGATGAGGTTGGAGAGAACAGTTGGAAAAAGGTAAGGAGTTTTAAGCTTAGTTTGATATGTTGTGTAATTTTGGGATTGAAATTACTGTAATTTTTTTCCCTCCAGTAACCTCATTTTCAGAATTTCCTCCATTACAAGAAAATCATAAAAAGTGATATATTTTACTTAAAGCATTTCCTTAAATAATGTCCTTTGGCTTTGGCTTGATGATCACTTGAAAATGATTTATGCAAACATCTGGACCTGGGTTTTCTGGCAACCTTGACATTTTCTCTATTTCTAAAGACGTGAGTGACTCATTCAGTTACTGGGAAATCTTAGGCAAAGCTAATTCCAATATTGTAATACCCATCCTTAGTCCTCAATGAGAGGCTGAAGTTCTGCTTTAAGTGTAAAGCATTTGATGAAAGGTGAAAGTGGCTGCTGGAGGAGAAGGCTGTTGGTACTGAACTGGGAGGTAGAGCATTTTGTATTTAAGATTGCCTTTCTCAGATTTTCTATACTGGATTTTCACTGCAGAAAGAAGATATTCTTTGAGTGCTCGGAAGGCCGCTGACTCCCCAAGCAGACAGACATTTTAAGACCCTTCTGTAAGCTTAACCGTTATGTGTGTGACATTAGCCTTCGTATCGTAGGTAAACTTCAGTGAGCGAGGGAACTGAGGCACGGAGAGATTAATTAGCTTGCCTAAGGTCACACAGCTGTAAGCTGAGATTTGAACAGGTAGCCTTTGTAGCCCAGGCTCCCAGCCACTATGTTGTCGTGCCTCTTAGGAATCTGTTGCCTACTGTTTAGGCTGCCATCTGCTTATGGAAAGACCTGATGTAAAATAGAAAGCAGTGATCCTCAACCTTTTTGTACCGGGGACTGGTTTCCTGGAAGACAGTTTTTCCACAGACAGGGGTGGGGTTGGGGGGGAGTCGGAGGTTTCGAGGATGAAACTGTTCCACCTCAGATCATCAGGCATTAGATTCTCATAAGGACCATGCGACCTAACTCCCTCGCATGCGCAGTTCTCAGTAAGGTTTGGGCTCCTATGAGAATCTAATGCTGCTGCTGATCTGACAGGAGGTGGAGCTCAGGCTGTAATGCTTGCTGACCTGCTATGCCACTCACCTCCTGCTGTGTGGCCTGGTTCCTAACAGGTCCACGGCCCTGGGATCGGGTACCCCTGATGCAGAGCATGTTGCTCTCTGGTACTTTAGCTTATAACTAAAGGAACTTCTATTCTGAAGCCATAATGAATGTGGTCCTTTTTCTGAAACATTTACCACTTGAGATTTATACCTTCCCAGAATGTCTGAGCTCATTTCAGAGCTAAACATTATAATGAAAACCATTATGTAGTCCAGCATCCAGAACTTGAGTTGATTCTTTTTTTGATTTTTATTCATTTTTTTCACTGCTTCTAACTTAATAACACCAAACATAGTAAAAGAAGGTTGCAATACATTTCTTTGGCAAGTTTGGGTACTGAATTTTTTCTTGAGTTTTAGTAGAGCCAAGCAGGTTGGTCACTATGTGTCATTTTTGGTGTCTAGTAGAATGGTTTATTTAGATAGGTGTTGAGTTCCTCTAAATTGTCCATTTTAGTTGGTTTCAGTTGATATGGAACCTTCACCAGGCTTTAGGTTCATCTTGTAAACAAGATATTTTTAAAGACCATCCTAGATTGAGAGCAATCTATTTGTTGTTTTTTTTGGAGAGGGAAAACTCTTGTGTTTTCCACCATTTGGCTGGACTCTGGGGCAAGAGTGGGCTGGCTCAGGGTGCTCCAGTTTCTGTCACCCCGGAGCAGCTGCCTGCCTCTGAGATATTCTTTGGAAATCTATCCTGAAGCACTCTGAAGCCTTCCTTCTGCTTCTTGGAGGACTAGAGGCAACAGGGGGCCTAATCTGATGTAACTTGTGTGTATATTTCAGGGTTAATAAATCTCAGCTAAGAAAATTAATAAAAATTTCACTGTGAATGAGAGGTTGGTCAGGGACTAATGTCCTGAAAATGCTTTATGATAACTTGGAAGAATTTGAGCAGATGGAAAGGAGAAACTTTGTTAAGGTCTCCCTGAAATTAGTCATCACTTCTTACAAGCAGATTTCACAAGTTGCTTACTATCTGTGGTGTGTATAATAGGGTTGTCTTATTAATGTCTGATGTTTGGATCTAGAGAAGTAAATTAATGAGTCAGGTTTTGTATAACAAATGATCACTCTTTAAATAATTAGTGCATATGACCGTAGAGATTAACTCTTAAAATACAGAAATTGAGACTCTGATGGAAAATGTGAAAGTGAAGTTAAAACTTTTATCTTTTTGCCTATGTAACATTTATCAAGTGATTAAGTGAGAATGCCTTTAAATAAGCATTTGATTGAAAGACATTAGAAGGTGGAAACTTGTATACCTTTTTCTTTTTTTTTCTTTGGGACAGGGTCTTGCTCTGTCATCCAGGCTGGAGTGCAGTGATGCAATCACAGCTTACTGCAGTGGCCTTAAATTCTTGGGCCCAAGGCATTCTCCCACCTCAGCCTTCTGAGTAGCTGGGACTACAGGTGTGTATGCCACTGTGCCTAGCCAGTTTTAAAATTTTTATTTTGTAGAGACCAGGTCTTTCTATGTTGACTATCTAGTTTCGAATTCTTGGCCTTAAGCTGTTCCCTTGCCTCAGCCTTCCAAAGTGCTGGGATTATAGGTGTGATCCACTGGTCCCAGTTGCCTTTTTTTTTTTTTTTTTTAACTTACTATAATACAGATACAGAAATGTGCTTACATGCTTTTCATCAGTAGTACTTCTTAAGAGTCTAGCATAGTAGATGTTATTAATGAAAGTTGACCCATGGCAATATGTATAACTAGGACTTTGATTCCCCAGTTTTTTTTCTTGCTTTCATAAATCTGTAAATCTTACTTAAGAATGACATATAAGGAAAATATGATCTCCTTGCCCTCTATTGATAAACAATAGCACTTGCTGCTGGGGTTTGTTCACGTTTGTATGAGGGAGTTTGTCTTATTTCCTGGGATATAATACTGAGATCTGTGTTTTTTGGGAAGTGATGGAACTTTGATAGTGCATCCAGCATTTAGGAATGCAAGAACAAACATTAGAGCCTTTTGAGGATGGTTTTCTGTAACTCCTCTTCGGTCCAACAGCCCTGTGGGACTCTTCCTGATCAGCATTTTTCACTAAGACCCAAACTGACTTCCTATAAACCACCGGGGCCAGATACTCATGACTATCTGTGGTTTGAAGATAGTAGTTTATGTTTTTGTTTGTTTGTTTTTGTTTAAATTGAATTGGGTGTGTTGTTCCCAGATGAACACTGTTATCAGGGCCTAAGCAAATTTTTTTGTCAGGGAGATGTCACAGTTGTATTATTGGAAGGGGATTTTCTGTCTTAGCTTTTAATTTGCATTAAGAGGTGTCTGGGCTGTGGGCATAGTAGTGACTAACATGACCACTTTTATTTGTTTTTGAGTCAGCTATTGCTTTTTGTGATAACTGAAAACTTTAGTCTTTTTTGAAGGAGTGAAGTGTTGAGAGTTTCCTGGAATGAGTGGTTCCCTAGCTGTTGCTGATCACCTGGTTTATTCTTAGTTTTTTTTGCATTCAGGAGTCTTAGTTTTCCCTTGTTC